TTTTTTTTAAAATTGGTTTGGTTTGGGGATAATTTGTTATGGTGTATAATATTTTTAAATATAAAAATATTATAAAATATTAAAATTTATAAAATTTTATATAATATTATAAAATTTATAAAATATATATAAAATTTTTAAAAATATATATAAAATTATATATTATTATAAAATATTAAAGGGGGGTCCTTTAAATTTTAAGATTGAATTAAAAATGATTAAAAGAATTATAACTTAGGACCCTAAACACTTAGACCCCTTAAATATACCGGACATTTCGACCCTTTAATTAATGTATTGTTACATAATGAAAGACCGTGCTTTTTTTAAAAATAAAATAAAAAGAAAAAAGAAATGACTAAGTTAGAACATTTTCAGCCGTTTATTTATCATTTATGTATATTATTTACAAAAACAGTAATCTGTTTTAGTGAAAAGGTCCAAGTTACACTTACAATAAGTATTCGAATGCCATAAAGGAACAATGAAGATACAGTATCATGATGATGTTTTAATTGATGTATAAAAACATAAATAGAATATATTTTAAAGTAGGAATCCTTAACTTAAAAATGAAAATGTTGCAGTGGACGGAAATCGTTTCATGAACGGTAACGAATAATACAAACTATAGCATCTAAAACCTCTATAGCACTCAACATTCAAATTTAGAATATAGTATAGCTAAAGGACAAACGATCATTATCTGCAGATAAAATTAATCTGAAATAATTAAAAGCCCCATTATTCCTCAGAAATCCATATTTTTGTAATTCTTTAGAAATGCAAACAACTGTTGATAATGTTTTAAAAACTTGATTAAGAGCATGTTAGATATTCAAAACAGTAATCACTTAGCATGCAGTGATGTGTCGTAAAGATAGCAACAAGGATAACACAAAAGTAGTATTTTGAACTTCCATACAAAGTACTAATTAAACTTAAATATACCATTTGCAAACATAGCAAGATAATTAAAGATAGTTTATGTATATGGCAAATGAGTATATTCTTTTAAACTGTGATACAAAGACTTTTGGAAAAATATAATAATAGCAATTCCTTTGGCGTAGTGGGCATTTGAAGAAATCTTTGTTTATTGATTATAACATGTTTAAAAGAAATTTCTCAGTAAAAATGATATTCTGTTTTGTTATTTTATACTTGTCAGACTTGATTTTCATTTTATATGAGACACTCTTTAGTATGACAATTTACTTTTGTTATTTTTTTTTCAATTTTCAAGCTGAGCTTAAAGTATTTGATAATTGGTAAATATTCATTCCTCGATATTTAGGTTGAAGTGACATTTTCAATACAATATGAACTGGTGATATCTTTTTTAATTTTTCAATCTGTATAGCACAAAGCATTTGTTTTGATATTTTCATGCAATTGCCTCTATATTAAATTTGTTTACCAATAAAATCTTAAAATGAAATGATAATTTGCACATGCTTTTTAAAATTGACAACACCTGCAACAAAAGAGAGTGTTTAAAACATGATTAAATTTGCCTACAGATGCATTGATGGCACAAACAAAGAAATGTACAGTCTGCAGCATGTCACTCACATAGAATGTATTCATTATTAGATTTTCATAATTGAGCCTTAAATTGAATAAGCAACTAACAACATGGGACATAAATGTCAAAATATGAAAAGATTGTCTTGCTTTTCTTTTTTTAAGTATTGAAAAATATCTCTTGCGCGAAAGTGATCGGATTGAGTAACTTCTTATAATAATGATATTGCAACGATGGCATGCTTTATTATGCCATTTTGCTCTAATTTACAAATTGCACAATTTTCAAAATTTCATAATCAAAAAATAAACACACTATTTATTTTTCAGTTGAGATCATGCATGATTTTAATAATGGCAAATATTATCTGTTTAAATATCATCCTCTTATATTTCATAATTTATATTTATTTTAATGTATTAACACAATTTCTTTTATTGCGTTCATTTCATAAATGTGATGATTTTTGCTTAAAGTGGGCAAGGGCTTGACTTAAAGGAAAGGCGATGTTTGCATGTGGATCGATGTCAAACTGGAAGCCTCTCAAATGATTCAAAGTAACCGGATGTAGTTTAGGGCTGTGTTCATGGACCGTTGCTTATCTTTCTTGAAATTTGTTTTAATGTTTGAACCATGTTTAAAACAATCATTATTTCTTCTTTGCAGATTGGCAAGTTAAGGTATATGCAATGAATGAAAATGCTAGAATATATAGAATATTGCACAGCACAAACGCAACAGATCAAGCCGAGATGATAGATTTATGTACTTTTGGTTTACATTGAAAGGGAAACATCTAGACATTTATTGAAGGCATTACTGAGCATTGACTTAATTTTTAGACTATACAATTTTAAATAATTATGTTTAAGATATTTTGCCTTTTTCTTCTTGATTTGTATGTTTTTAATGTAGCCGAAAATCAAGTAATTGCGCAAGTGCATCATATGCAAATCTGCAAAAGGGTTGATCCAATGCAAACAACAATATTATATGAAAACTGTTGACGTAGTTTGATTGAGTCTGTTCATGAGAGATTATATAAAACTGCCACATCTCTCATGCTCCCTAGCACCGCCTTAAGTGATATTCAATTTTCAACACTAACTTGCTTGAGTCAATGATCCCACTGATCAACTATCAAATGAAGTCCAATTATACAGAATTATTAATTGACAATAACTACATGATCAAATATGAAGACACCTCTTGAAAAAATAATATTATGTACGATTGAATATTATAGTTCCTTCTCTATTTATATAAGTGCCAGCGGACCTTTGATTAATATAATATTCACAATGACGTCAGCGGTCATGACCGACTAAGGGGCACTATTATGTTTTGTCTGGCCGCTTGAAATTAGCGGCGTGTTGCCGTGAGGAATATACTTTTCGAAACGCACATTATACAAGCTGACTGCCAAAGTTTACAGTACAATTTACAAGAAATTTGAGTACTTTTAAATAACTATTGTAATTCTATTTTGTCTTAAAAATTGTCTATTCGAAATATTGTCATATGTTTTTTAATTGTTTCGTTAATCACAAAAGTTGGTTGTCTATTTAATACTTTGTTTTAATCACTGGTGAATGAATATTTGCTATAGGAAATCAAAACCATGTTCGGACATGTGCTCTAATTAAAATGAAACTTTAATAAATATGAACATGTGTCTATTTGGAGAAAAGATTTATAGCGCCATGGAACTACTTTATTATGTGTTGAATGATTGACAAATACAAAAGCTGCCAAAATTAATAAAAATGTTGTAAAGACAATAAATTAATGGCCCATATCACATATACGATACTTGTTATGACCAACCTTTAGAAACACAGGTTAGACATAAAAGCCCACCTAATACGATTTTATGTCAGAGTCCAAAGTCATTAAGAAATAAATAAAGGAGATATTGCAAAGATAGACCAAGGTGGCACTAAAAGGAATAAAGCGTTTGAAGACCTCGTGAAACAAGATATGTTATACTTTTAAGATAATTAGGTTTTATTCATTGTGAGCTATCAAATAGCACACTTTTTTATCTTAAATTTGAAAGAAACGGCGTCTAACGACCATACATCACTCTATAAACGCAAAATCAGTTCATGCAGTGTTGAATTTAAATGTTAGCATAATAATTCATTTTGACATTACAGGAATGGAAATGACCACTATGACTTATTTCCGTCAATGTCCCTGTCTCAAAATGTAAGACAATTTGCGTTTGAATTGTAAAACTATTTAAGAGCATGCATGTTTTTATTTATCTTCATTATCAGACTTTGTACTTATTTGGTATTCTGTCAAAGGCTTTATCTAGAAATAATAGTTATGCTATTTTTTTTAAAAACTTTGTACTGTATCCGTGGGCATAAATTTGATAATGCATTTAATGTACGGGGTTGCGTTTCATAAAAAAGTCTGAAGTCTGAAATCAAACTGAGACAAGTTTGCTTTTTAAAGAAAATATACCAGATTACTAATATGACTCCTATATTGTCAGGCCTTCAATTTCTGAATACCATTGCAATTGCAATACACATGAACTCATTGCGAATTAAATTGAAAGCCGATGTCTTTCTTTACTTTTCTAAGGAGAATGTATTTAATTAAAGTTTAACGTCTTAGACGTCTTAGACTAAAGATAAAAATGTTTATTAAAACGGTCTTATGGTAGTCATAAAGTTTGTCTTACGTGTTAGGATTTTTTGATACACTTAGCATTGTCTATGAAACGCAGCACACATAAATGAAAATTGAGGACAAAATGAAATTGCAAATATTCAAGACTATAATATATATAATGTGTGTTTACTGAATCTTTCAACATGTTAAATTTTATACACTATTCAGATTTCGGTTATAATTATATATATATTAAAAAGTGATACATTGAAGCGTTTAAATATTTTATATGTTTTATAATGCACATTAATCCTCAGAAATAGAAATCCATTTTGCACTGCAGTAAAGGAAAATCTGTGTTTAATAACTGTCCAGAAGGAACACTTAATGAATCACTATTACATTTCTAACGAACAATAAGCAAAAGATGGTTCAATTTTATGGAGACTGATTACAATTTTCGATAATTGTAATAGAGCATCAAAGATAATAATTCTTTGAGAAATACCAATCTTCATCCATTACCTGTTGAAACTGAAAGATATAATACTTTAACCGGATTAAGCCTGAATACTGTCTGATCAGACAATAAACTGTGTAGTTCGAAGCTCAATTTTAGTATTTTGTTATCGAAATCCCTCAACATTCAAATGAATTATTAAAGATAATAAACAAATCAAACTCATGATACAAATTTAGGAGATTTCGGTCTATTTAACCTTTAGAAAATTATAAATTTTGACTAAGATTTTACACAGGTACATGTTAAAAGATTACCTGCTTATTGGATATGACTTTTTTAACTTAAGACAAAGAAAATGGACACATTGTAATTTACTTTTTATTGCGGTTACATAGGTATTAAACGTGTTAATAAATAGTTAAATACAATACAAAAGTAGAAAAAGATAACATGTGCAATAGAAGCTTAAATAATTCAGATATAGATATATACAAAATGTACAACAAACCATCATATGATGAAACGTAAATGCAGAAACAAAAAGTACACAATGAACTTGAACACCATCCTTTCCATAGGTGAAAAAAATGATTTTACATGTATTTGAATATCTACCTTTAAAGGGTCGGTATAACCCTACTTCTCTCTACCTTATATAGCACCAAATTTTATTGTCTGTCATTTTATCAAATGTAAATACAGTTAGCTCTAATAATATTTTTGTTCACAATAAACAACATTAGTTTAATAAGTCTGCCGTATTGTGCTTACATTCACCTTTTCAGTAGCAAATAGTTATCACACAATGCGTAAACACGTCATCAAAACATAACAAATGATGTCGTCATAAATGATGACGTCAAGAATCGATAATGACATCTTCAAGACTTGGCGTAGTACTTCCAGTATTACGCTGACGATCATTTGGAATATATCTGTTCGAAAACGATGACGTCATATCTTCCTCCGCTTGCATTCTTTTATGTTTTGTCCGCCTGTTTTGAAACCAGACTTTTACCTGAAATATTAATATTGTACATAGAAAGATTTATTTGATACGTCCTACATACTTTTAGAATATTGCTATTTTAAGTTTTTACAGTCTACACTATACTGCCTCAGAAATGCTTTTCTTTTTCTTTTTCCAAAGCTTTGTAATTATGATGCACTTTAATAGTATCCAAAAAGTTACTCATTGGGCAATTACCAGAACCATCTTTTCTATCTGATGCTTTTTGGCAATAAGTACAGTTATAGTGAATTAGTGCTTTGTATGGAAGTCAAATTATACTTTGTTAACATTTTGCTACTTTTTATGACAACTTTTTATCTCTACTTTCTTCTTGTAGCAAGCATATAAAATTTATCTCCAAAACCACCATTTAAACATTATGAAATTAATTTTTGCCCTTTCTTAAGAAGTAAAACATTATTTGTTTCTGAAACATAAACGAATACAAATTTACTACCCTAGAAACAGGAAAACATATGTTTTATACTGTTTAAATACTGGTTAATGAACATGTTCGACGCTTTTTTTTACCTTACAAAATTTGAAATTATTTGTCATAAAAGTAGTTAAATGTAAACTAAGTATTTTTCATATGTAGACTTCCATGCAAAATCATTTTAAGTGTACTCATTGCCAAAATAAACAAAAAAAAATTTTTTAGGGTAATTGGCCAATGGGTAACTTTCTGGAAACTATAAAAGTACAACAAACATAAAAACGCTTCTGAGAAATAAAATTTAAATCATAATGGCCTGTCAAAAAACTGGATATTTATTCTAAATATACCTTTTACAGATTTATTTCATAACAGAATGCCTTCTTTAGCTTAAACCAAGCCAAATTTTACACATTGTTCAACATTCAAAAATGAAAATAATTGAAATATATGTCGGATTAAAGAAACACGATTAAAATGAATAAAACAGTTCGTGCAATCTACTCGAAAAAAATCATTATTTGGCATTGGACTTTTGCATGTTTAAATAAATATTTGAGTATTCATCTAACAGCAGTTTGCCAGGATATGCTACATTTAAAAAACCTCTTTATTGTTACTTTTGTTACTAGTAAAATAAATTTTAGTAAGGTGTAGAATCTTGGTTCTAACGGACATCATTTAGCGTTCGCATAATAACTCATTTTAGAACGTATCGATGTATTTATAATGCGAACATTACGCTTCAGAGAGAACTCGTTTAGCAAAATTTGTCTTGTTAATGAAAAATGAATAGATCTTTACACGCACAAAAAACGTAACTTTGGGCAGATTGGAATTCGACCCCAAAGTCTTTATCATATTCTAACCATAGTAATAAAGCTCTACATTTGGAGAGGATTTCCCAATTAACAGTCATAGCCGAGGTAATAGAAGATAATTTTGTAGCCCAAAGCCATCTCAAAGACAGTTGTTGGAACGCCCACAGATAAAGGTGAATAGAATACATAGAATTTCTCGCGAACTTTTATTTATAATCCGTGCCAGAAGACCCGAGACACTTCAAAAGTTTTAAGAAACAATTTCATTTAATTCCTTCAATTATATATTTAAATAAAGCTAAATGTTTGCCGTGATAATAGGACACAAATTTTGTCCGTTCAAGTTGTACCATCGGTCGGAAAACCTGAGTAAATTAAGAAGCAATTAAAAAGTAACACGGGAGAATATTTTGCCAAAAATGAAGGATAAACACTCCAAATTTAGATCAAAAGATTGACTAATGAATTGCCTAAGGCGTTATCTCAAAGATTTGAGCAGCCCATAGTGTACTGACGAGTCAGAATAGTCAGTATTTAGTCTATACAATCAATGTATGGTGATAAATTGGACAATACAGATAATAAAATTGAGAAAAACATTTGACATAGGTACAGAAATGGTGATTAATCAAGGTGTAATACCCCTTCGGTTAATTTCTTGAACAGTTTAAGCTGTAGACAGTAATACGTTTAAATATAATTGAGAAAATTAGATTGCACCTAAATGCACAACCACTTATACAATATTTGTAAATCATAAAATGTTTATAATTGCAATGGTATAACCGACTTTTTATTTGCCTTGTGATACGCAACATGTTATTGCCTAATGGACACGATCCTTTCTTAATCGGAATGATTTCTAAACATATATCAGTTGTTACAAAATATAGACCATTATTAATGATAATTAATGGGTAGATATTTTGTAGATCAATTTTCTCATGATATATTAATTAAAGAATTTGCCTTCAAAACCGTCTCAAACTTATAGGCTTAAAAATTACAGTAAAATTATTTCATCCCCCATATATTTTCCATCTATTATAACTACAACTTTACTTCGTTTTGTTCTTACTTGAATAATGTAATACAAACTTGGATGAAATTCAGCTAAAACAATGAAATATGATTTCGTATGTCAATATTCTTGTAATTCTTAGTTAAAACATACAGAATTTGATAATAGGTTAAATTTAGCATAATACGCTACCAGCGTGTAACAAATGCATTTTGCTTCAGCTTGAGAAGAAAAGTATGGGTTCTAGGAAGAAATTATGCAATTTGCTTGTAATAATATAATGAACGTAATTGGGTTTTTATTTTACTTAAACTTTATGTAATTTTCAGCAATGAGGCGTTTAATTGTAACATTAGCTACGGATTGGGGATAGTGTCAAAGCTAATGGCCCTTTTTAATTTCTTATTAATGTGTTCATGGCATGAGCTTTGTCATTTCTTACATTAACGTTTTAAATCTCCAAAGATTTCTAAAATGAATAAAGTAGATTTTGAATTTTTGGGGGTCCAATTTTCTTGCCATATGACAAACATTTTTTTTGTGAATTGAGATGCACTCGGTTTGTTTTAAAAGCAGTTGACGGAAACAGTTATCATTTTGGACATTGAGATCTATTTCCGTTTTTAGAAACATCCCTTTTAGAGTATTTTATCAGCCGTCACCCAAAGGATAAGTGACATTAGTTTTATATGTTTGCTTATACATATTTGAAACACTACCTTCAACATCAAATATGTGTTTTAATGTTTTGTTTTACATTTTAACGCGGGTACAACGGTGATTTTGATTTATGTCTATAGAACGACATATCATAAGAAAGTTTAAAGTTATTATTATGCAAAGAACTTGAACAAAAAAAATGAACAATGTATAAACCATGCTTTATTTATAAATATTATAGAAATTGTTGACCGATATTCACACTTTATATGGCAATAACATGAGTAGAACATTAATTCTAAAATGTTCACCGTAATACCGAATTATATATTATCTCTTACTTCGCTTCAATCAATCAAAACCAAAATGTAATGAGTACTAATGACAGGGATCCACCTGACCTTTATTCATACGAGGTTATTAGAAAATGTATTTTTGCCTGAGCACTAAGGTTCAGATCAGAGACTCGATGTTCACACGGCTCTGAAATATGTTTGATTATCGAGCAATAAGTACCATCTTTTATTACTTCAAAGGTCCAGTATTCACGTGAACTCTACCTGTGAGGTAACGGTCTCTAATAGGTAACGCATTAGTTCGTAATTAAACATTTTGTGCAACCTTTTCACAAATTTTATTTGACGGAAATACGCCCCTTTCCTGAACATCTAAGCGTCATATTCTATTCAAAGTGCCAATACAGTGACCTCATTTACTGATTATTCATGTTATTTCAATATATTCTATTTCTCAATCTTGAAAAATTTGTTTACTCAGTTGTACCCTGAATGGCATCATGGTATAATAAGGGATGATCACATATAGAAAATATTTGCTAAGCGCCGTAATAACGAAAACCTCATTTCATATTGTTGAGAGATCAAATTACAAATTCGAACTTCAAATACAAATAGAGGGTATTGCCCAGTAGTTTATTTACTTTCTGGCAAATTTAAAATTTTCATGTCATTTCAACAAACTATTCAAATATACTTTGTGCACCTGTTACTTAGATATGTATTTATGCAAGGCAAACGTTTGGGCCATTAGATTATGAAACAATAATATATATCAAAACATGATTTTAATCTTGTGACATGTGAGTTTACTTAAGAACAATGAAAATGAACGACATTCAAAACTATAGATACCAAAGTGACTACAAGTTTTGACAAAAACGTTTATTTACATTCATTTATTCACTTTATGCACACATGAGATGTGTAAAGACAATAATTAAAGATTTTGGATCTGCGGTTATTTCTAAATTCAAATTTCACCATTTTCGTGTTTAAATGTTGAATTCTGCTTAAGCCGGTGCTAGGGGGCGTGGACGATTACTTGCACTTTCCAGTACCGTATATGAACTGGCTCAATCAAATCAGCCTACAACATTTTCGATTTCGCCGTGTTGGGCTTTCTTCAGGGATTCTGTTTTTTCTCACCTCTATTTTGCATTGAAGGGTGATTTGCATGTTTTCTATTTTACTACATTTAACGATAACAAAAGGTAACAAATTGAAAACAAATGTATGTTTACAACGATACAATACTATCCGATCACGAAATACAAATAGCAGTCTTACTTGCGTTTCTGATAAGTTAAGAGAGGCTGATAGATCCTTTCTCTCTTGTCCAACGACGTAATGGTTCTTTTCAAATGCATGTTCCAACCGGAGAAGTTGTGTTGGGGAAAAGGCAGTTCTTACACGTTTAGGTTTTCTGTAAGACGGCATAAATAGCCCTGTATCTGAAATATATGCATACTTCCATTATACATGAACTAGACGGGCGTCAAAAAACCAGTATCTGTCTTAAACTGAGCTGCTGCCGTGTTATGCGTTAGAGTTCCAAATTTTTCAAAACTATTTCAATTATATAGTTTTTATAACAATATTAAAAAAAATATCGACAAAGTTTTGTGCACGAAATAAATGCTTTATTAACACCTATTACTTGACTTTTTTTGCTACTTCAAAGAGAACTTTGGGGTAGCTTTAGTGCAAATGTTAAAATGGTTTCCGCCGTTTTGTGCGTTCTGTGAGGTTTCCATTTTAACCATTTTTTATCAGTATGAATTACCAATCAAGAATTTAAACAAAATATTATAAAATATGTTATGTAAAAGGATTCGTTAGTATTACATTTTTGTATTATTTCTCAACACAGCTCAGCACTTTAATAGAAATACGATATTAAACAATTCATTTTTTCCTACTTTTTTTTTTACAAATAAAACATTATGTTGAAACGGTTTTATACACTTAAGGTTTGAATTACTCTGCAAAATTCATTTTAAATTGATTTCATTTATGTATGCAACACCAAAACAATGAGAGTACAATGTTGCTAAATATTGGCTTATCATTATATAAATTTTCTTTACAGTATGCACATGACTGCAATTATATGGTGCACACTAACCTTTGCTTTATTGAGGTACATTTGCTTTGTTAAAATACCGCCAAGTCTGTTTAAGGACCATGTTAAAAGCGCTGTCACGACTGCATTATAATTAAAATCCAATATAAAATATACTGATATTTCAAAATATGTTCTCTTAACGATAGTGCTGTAAAAATATCAAATTTACAAATTTAAGATTTTGTGTTGCCAATAGTTTTCTTTAAGCATGTTGAATAAAATTGTTTGATATTGAATTGTGTAGGTAGAATTGAGACGAAAAATATGAATGAATAACAAATTTTGTAAAATAAAATTTGACAATTAAGCCGCATCGGAATGAAATTTATGAGGAAGAAAATAAAAATGGAAGTAATTTACTGTGAAAATTGTTACTGAATATTTGAAAAAAAAGTCACTAGATATTTATGATTTGCTTTTATGAATAAACGAAAAATATTGTATACGATATCTAGATAGTGTATAAAATCAAAATTACTGACACTCTTTTTCTTTCATGATTTCAATAATATTCTAAACATTGCTTTGTCATACTATGTTTTACTTTAAAAGTTTGACCTAAATCAACTACATGATAACTCGAAGAATTCAAAATTATTTAAAACACCAAATTGAAGTTCCTTAGTACTGATTGTGATAAGCTAAATACTGACTACGAATTTCAGTTTGTGCTGGAATGTAACGTTTTCAATGATCTACGCATGAATATATTTCTAGAAAATAGACCTGGTATTGTAAAATTTGTTGAACTTATGGAAACAGAGAACAAACTATACCTTTATAAAATTATTATTACATCCTTGTTAAAGTCATTAAAAAGACAAAAGTTACTAAACCGTGATTGGAATACAAAACTCCCTTTTTTGGTTGAGTTTTAGGTCGCGCCAAAACAATATAGGTCATATTGCTTTACTGGTGGAGGAAGACCTCAGGTGCCCTTCCGTGCAATATTTCAGCCACGAACGGGCAAATGAGTAGAACTACCGACCTTTTGTAAGCTTGACATGCATATTTTATATTGTATGTATATGTCAATATGCTGTACCATGCATACGACGACATGACCTTTCTGTTCTTGGAATTGGCCCATAATGAAAGGTCTGTAATTCCATAAATATTTATGTTGATAGTATTTAGTAAACATAACATAAAAAACAAAAACAAACAAAACAACGGAAAAATAGAATAAAAGAACAAAAAGCAAAGCAACAACACAACAATCCCAAAACAAACCCGAAACAAAAAGCAAGAAACCACGAAAAAGTGTAAGACACATAATACGATATATCACATCTATATAGCAAAGAATAAATTATTCAAGAACTTAATATTATTTTTCATCGTATAAATGGCCTAGAACTCACTTCACATTTTTTGTGAAAAGTATTTTATAGGGAATATACAAATGAATACTTTTGCTTTTATCAATATTTGAAATAGTTTTGGTTGTGAAAAATGTGCCTGTTGTAGACGAACCTGTTTAAAATCTAAGACATAAAAGGAAACATTAATATGACACTAGCCCTTTATTGATAGGGTACTACACGGCGTTATAATTTTATGTATGCATATTTGATAACACGTAAGGTTGAACTGAGTACGGGGGCTTTATATGGGAGAACATTATTAGTACACCAAAATGTCTTCTTTCGTAAAGCGTCTTTAAATGTATATTTAATTTACTCTACTTAACTCTTGCAGAATGCTTGATATGAAATATTAGTTCTTAACAAAATTTTGACACATGGGTATTGTAGAAACTCAATAATGAACATGGTTGAATGTCTCTTCGTCTCTTAATACAGAAACTAATTATAAAAAAATATAAAATTAGAATACATGTTCCAATGTAATTGCCGATGTTGGCTGGGCTGTACCTTACAAATGTATTTAAAAAATGTTCTTTCTGTTCATTTCACGACAAATTCACAACATATTATGAACATCTTGTGCACTATCGAATAGTTAAGAGAAGGTGTGCCCGTATTTGAAATATGTTTTGTATTACACGTATTGTAAAAATTGAAAGCAGTTCTGACAAGTTTTATGCATGTGTTTTTGTAATCAAAATATAAACATTTAGAAAATATTTAGAACATATTCAAATGAGGAAAAAATGATAATAAATGCAATATCTCGTATATAAAAAGATAGTTTTAAAAATAAGAAACAAGGAAAAAACCATCAAACCCTAGCAAAAAACAATGAAAAGAAAGACAAAATGAAAAAAAAAAAAACCCAAAAAACCCCAAACAACAACAAACACCACCAACAACAACAACAAAAGTAACAACAAAAAAAACAACAAACAAACACGCCCTCTAAAAACAACATCAAAACAGTTACACATTGAGATTGATAATAAAACATGAGCTATATTTTTTGATATTATAACATGATTTTAATAAATGTAGGTTGAGTTTTGCTTGATAACTTCAATATATATATATATATATATATATATATATATATATATATATATATATATATATATATATATATATATATATATATATATATATATATATTATAAAATATGTATATAAATAAATAAATTTAGCGACTTCTTAAAGTTGTTAGACGCATATAACATTTTAATATTTTCCTGGTCTTGTAATTTATTTTGTCTCTATAGTTCGCCAGATTGATACATTTAATTCATGTAAATTCAGCATTGATTGATGTACTTCGTAAACATTTTCCTATTTACGTTGTTGAAAATTTCATTTTTACCTCTATTGCTTATTATCCAAATGAACATGTTCAATCAAAATTGCCTTTTTGTTACCCAACAAACCGATTGCTTGAAAAAATCGGTAACAATTTATGAAAAAAAATTGGTTTAAAGAGTTTGATATGCACATTATTTTCCTGTTACTTAAAAAAATCCAACAGAATCAAGTATGCAGGAAATGGTAAAAAATACTCCATATATTATAGTAAAATACCGAGTTATGTCGATCCTATAATTTAAAAGCCAACCAAAAGAACACCAGCAACAACAAGCAAAAAAATAACGAGAGAAATAAATATTTTAGAAAAGGAGTCCTTCTTAACTATACAAGACACAATATACACATTTCTCTGAAAACGTTTTTTTGTTAGACTAAATGAGACTGGTAAGGTTTATTGCCTAGGCTGACAAATTTATGAAGAGTCTGACTCAATTTCTTTGCTATTTTATTGACCATAATTGTTGACACATTGTCTAATCTGTAAACATATGTTAATATCATGCACTATTTGCTTATGATGGGCAAACATCATCAATAGAAATGATAACAATAACAAACAATTTTCAGTTGGTTATAACATCTTAATATTAATTTATAAATTTCAAATAAAATTTTTTCGAAGACCTTTAAGATATACCAACATGCAAATTTATTATAACTATTTTTATTCTTTTAGGAATTGTTTGTTATTTTATTTTGAAATGTGAAGACTTAATATAAAATTATTTTGATTTTTAGAAAAAATGTTGTCAAGAAAAGAAGTTCTATTGTTTGAAAATCCAGAAATTAAAAAAAATACCTATTATTAAATAATAACAATAATAATAAAAAAAAAAAAAAAATGAATGCTATTTTTATTTCCATTGCATATTTTTCAAAAACCATGGTTCACGAAACTGATCAAAATTTTGCAAAAAATGTTATTTGGGAACATTTAATTGTTTACCACTAATGATACAGTTAAGAAAACAGACAATATAATCCTTTGTAAAGTTTAGTTTAACAACATGTTTTATTATATGTGTTTTTAATCATCCATTTAGATGCAAACAATAAAAGAAACTTTTTCAAATGAATTTCGCCATTAGTTCTAAAAACATCAACAAAAGGCCTGTTCCATATGAAGTCACAGAAATGTAAATAAATGACAACATATATACATGTATGTCTAAAACTTTATAGATAGATAGATTATTAAAAAAAAGGTTAAACTCAGGAGTTTATAGGTACAATCTTCTTATACAATATGTAAATCAATAAGCTAATGGTGGCTGTTCAAACATCAAATAATCTTACAATTTAATAATAAATACAACCATATAGAAAATAAACAACCAGAGGAAAAATACGTGTATATTTATTTAATTATAAAACAAAAAAGTATTTATAGTTTATAATACAGAATGCAAAATATTTGAAGAAGTAAGAGAAGTACTTGTTTGATAGGCATGCACTTTGGGAATACAGTAAAAACTGAAAGAGAAAAAATGATAATGTTTAAACTGTACATTAAATGGCTACCCATACTAGTACCGATTAATTTGGAACGGACTTATCTTCCAATGTGAGTTTTATTTATGGAAATATTTTGACAATCATTGTTTGGTGGTAAATTCATGTATTTTATAGCGTTCCCTTTGATTTTTCTTTGTTTTACACTTTATCTTAAACTCAAAAATTCAGTTGTCCTTTCAGATTTTATAGAATTATGTACTATATTTCTCAAGAAAGTTTTGCATCATTTTTTTTTAATTTTATTGAAAGAGAGGATACTTAGGATAAAGTGCAGTTTTAAGGATAATATAGTCAACCAGTTTGTCATATATTCAATATTTTTTCTTGTTTTGAACACACAGTTCTTCTACAATATGTTCATTTTTTTAGAAACGTAAATGATAATAATTAATATTTTGATGGTTATAATACTGTAATAATTGTTATGAATTATCTGACAATGGTTAATTTAACAGTATTTCAGTACTTCAAATTAGGATTAATTAACCATACATATATAATCAAAGTTTCACAATTTTCCACCTTATTTGGAACACGATAGCCCATTAGCGTCACTAGCACGCAAACCCCTTCCTACTACCACGATTTATGACCTTTTCTGTAAACAATACTGAATTATATTTTATAGCAAAAATACGTATCTGATTAAATAAATCCAAATAAAGCACTCTCTATTTTGTTAAAAGCTGATATGTTTCTAGTGTTTTGTTTTTTAAATGTTAACGTTTTAGTTTATAAATGTATAGTTTGAAATTAAATTAAATAGGGCACAAAATGATTACTCGCCTATAATATTTTGCTGAAGTTGTTAAATTACGTTTCCTACAAATAAAAGAGTTTGTTAAGAAAGTAAATTTTAAAATTTTAATACTTTTGAAAAAAATGCAAATGGTTGTGTGTTGTTTGTTTTCTTTTCTGAAACCCTGTTTGTAAAAAAAAGGAAATTGATAAATTCATTATCATAATAAAGCTTGCATTAATATAAAGTTTATACACATGATGATACAGTCTTAACTTATTAAAAAGTCATGTACATTTACTCTGCAAATATTTACTTACCCGAACAACGAGGGGTTAGAAACCCTGCCCCTCGGGTCGATGGCCACGTGAAGGCGGATCCAGCGACCCCGTGATCCAATCTGGTGGGAACCACTTGAGATGCAAGCTGGTTTTGACCCATCGGCGAATAAAGGTTTGTAAAAGGGGAATAGTTATTAGCAATACTGGCCATGTTTTGAATGTTTGAAAGATTAGATATGTTGTCCAATTGCATCAAACTGTTATGAAACTTTAAACCAAAGTTGCCAAGATTATGGTGAGAACGTAAATCATGTGTTTGTATGTTTGGCGTGGATGGTTCAATGAAAGACCACGGATGGGTCGAAAGACCCGCAGATCTTATTAGACTTCCACTGTTCACATTATTTATATTAGATATATTTTGTGTTGACATTTCATATGGTCTCATACTGTGTAACAAATTATCGTGAATTTGAGAAGGCGATGAGTCAAAACATTGCGCACAATAATCACTATCCCTATGACCATGATGTGCTGAGGTATTTGTGTTGCTTCCAGCGTTCACGTTATATCCATTCGCAGTATGTAGTGGTGGGTCATTACCATTTGAGTCTTTTGAGGCACTTTTTAAACTTTTAAAAGCTGACTCAGTGTTGTGTTGAAAATCAGTTCCCAAGACTGACATTTTTGATTTATTCTCAAGTAAATTATCTATATTAAAACCAGCATGTATTCCTCCGCTTTGAAAAAGAACTGACACCATTTTACTTCATAAAAAAGAATTTATCACTTGTTTATCCATGTTAATCAAATTTTGATTTATTAACTCTTTCTCAACATCAACCTTATTTAAATTCCATGTTCGTTGCAGCCTCTGTTACGTAAGAATTCACATTATCGTTCTTTAAATGTCATACAAAAGATCTATTTAACATTGAAACTTCGACAAGGCATGTCAATCAAACAGCTATTTTTAAAAAACTTCAATAGCTAACATAGACGCAACAGTTTGATTGGGTAATGAACAAAAACAAGAGATTGACGTTTAAATTTTATTCGCTGCCAATTTCAACTGCTTTTGAATCGGCCATATTGACTTACGCATGGATACCCGACGATCAAAACAGCTTTTGTTACTTACAAAACGCGTAGTTAATTTGTCTTTAACACGATATTGTTTATGGCAATTGGGACCAAAGCAAGCATTCATCTTCGCATACCCTTTTGTTCGTGATCTTGACAACTTTACTTTGTCTCAATTTCATTGAATGAAAACTAATCTACTACAGTCTACAAAATGTCACTTGCGCTAACAAGCGGTTTAATGAAAGACATTCCACTACTCCCAATTTTCCCGGACGTCTAGGATTTAAGCAACACGGTACAAATATATCAATTTCTCATTTAGGGTTTCGTTACTGAATTCCTTAAACCGTCATCTTAAAAGAAACATTGTACGTTAATGAATTAGCAGAGGTAAAAGTCATTAAGGCCAATTGGTAAGGAGAAATAGTCTTTAATGGGATATAATTTCCACAGGTGCTGGGTAGCATACATATCCTTGTTCATAACAATTCATGGTAAAGTAATAAGACATATGTATCATTTAGGCGTTACCAAGGTTTTCCTTTCCATTTTCAAGCGTATAACTATAGGATATAAAAGTTTCAGTTACAATGATGTAAAAGATTACATCAGTAAAATATGTGTACACAGTTTTTCTGTTAATTAGATTGTTTTGTTAAGTTCAGATGGTTTATAACATTTGATATTTTAATCAGAAAATCTGTGAAATTCATGGTAATCATTAGACGATAATTTTCTTTTGTTTCTATTTTTGTGACCTGATGTGAAAATATTTTGATATACATCTCGAAAGAAACCTTTTATGACGGTTGATGTAAAACACACTTTAAAATAAACACAGTGTTTACTTCTTGAATTGTGGCACTGGGTCATTGATTCAAATTTTGAAATAGGAAGGGTTTCAGGAAATTAAATATTATATCATTATATAATAAAAGTAGGGGGCGGGATTTGAAATCCTTTCAAAAATTCACTGGATACAAATTTGGTCAATGTCTGAATGAGAAGCAAAGCTTGTTTTATAATCGCTTTAATATAATCTAATTTATAAGTTCCAGTTTGTCATTTCATTTGAAACAAGAAATGTACTGTTTCTCTAGTAGGTTAAGTATGGACAATTTTAATAAGAAAGATGACGTTTATCTAATACCTTATAATTGAAATTTCTAAATGTTTTGAAACACTTTTTCAAATGCACAAATCATAAATTCCGTCTTATCATATGTTATAAAATGTGTAAAATAATAATAAATATTTTTAATTTTTCTAGAGTTGTTTCTATTATTCGACATTATTTTCAAATCATAAATACTTAATATTTAGTTCAATTAACAACAAAAACAACAACAACAACAACAACATCATCTTCAACATCATCATCATCATTCAACAACAACAACAACAACAACAACAACAATTATCATGATAATCATAGAAATCATAATATTAATATTGTTAATAAAAATAAAAAGCAATAACAGCCGCAGCAGCGACAACAAAGACATTTATGATAATAAAAAGCACTGTATATAATGATAGATAAGAATATAACAAACGGCTATACATACAGAATATGTGCGGTTGCACTAAAATTTGTGCTTACTCATGATATATCTTATTTCAGAATTTTTTCGTGTGCATTAAATGCTAATATATCTGATGTTATTATGCAATGATATTTGTTTTCAGCATACCAACCACATTATGTTCATAGCGTTGTTTCTTTATCTGTATTCTTTATGGCCAATATTGACACATTTTTAATGTTGTTTTGTCGATTTGACAGTTTCAATTGTCATTTACATGAACATTTGTATATGTATCATTCATATATATATAATATATATCATTCATATATATATATATATCATTAAATAATGAAATATATTAAGCATACTATATATTTTGTAAATGTTGCACGTGGTTCTTTGACCAGGGTTTTGTATATGCTGCGCATGCCGGTAAATTACAAATGTCTTAAAACAAATAAAAAGCGTTAAACGAAGCAAAGTGACAGTTCTGTTACAAATGAAATATGCTTAAATTTTGATGTGAAAGAATTCTTACCAGACCGGTGGGAAATCAGCGCAAATGAGCTGCCCTGATTTGTACAAAACACCCGGAGATCATTGAATCGACCCATATAATATTCATATGGCAGTCTAGCAGTGCACATGTACAGCATTTTATTTGCATCGTCAGTTTTCTCACGTATACAGGGTATTAGAATTCTGGCCACCAAAACAAATATGATATTATGCATTTTTCTCCTAAGCATCTCATAATGCTGTGTTTTAGTATGATTAACCCCATTTCCGTTTTTTAATGTCTGTATTTGGTACATTTGAAGCAATGCATTTCAATAATAACAAAACATAATGCATATATCTTAGATATGCTAAGAAAGCACCGAAAGCGCTACCAAATAGATTGAAAATATGGAGTTTGTTATTTCTTTAATATTACTATATTATCTATTTCAACACTGCACAAGGAACATTCATCACGTTTTGATACATATGTGTAGAATGTAAAAATAAAATAATAATAATTTTTAAATTATTGGTCTGTTTGGTGGTTGGCATCTCCATTAAAAACCTCTTGACTTCCTTTTTTCCGCACGACTTGATAAAACGGTCACGTATATTAAATTGGAGATACAATTTTCACCTCTTTTTTGGCTGTCACTTGCCTTTTAAAATTCAAACATAGATTAACAACATTTCATTTAAATCTAAAACCATATTACGATTTACAATATAAAATTCTCTTTTTGATAGAAAATATTAGTAACAAACGTTTAACAGCAATACTTACTTTAAAGCATGAAACAATAGAAATTATGGTTTTGTTTTTTACAAAAGTAATGTCTGTCTCAACATACATTAATTCAATGTCTAACAAGGTGAATATAGGTAAAATCAGCCTTTAGTTAAGCATTAAGTTTTGAAAACTGAATACTGCTATAACCGATGCCAGGGCAAGAGATAATTTATTTACTCTTACTAATTACTAACAGATTCCTGCAATTGTAACTTCTTAATTTTATTACCATTGCTTCTGAGGAATCCATCTTTTGCGAAAAACATTGTATTCACAAAAGCAGGTACAACATGCTGTTATTTATAAAAGAAATGTTGTATTCCTGGTGCTAATGGATTATTGGTAAAAGAATTTTCAGTGTTTAAGGGTTGAAATAATGCATGTGCTATGTGGCGTGAGAAATATTGCTCTTTCCAAAACCCGGGACAATATATAATCATAATAGACTAGCTAATGCGCAAAGCCTTATATACATAGAAATACACTAGCTGTAGTGCAACACTATACATACAATACTAACAATGTCAGTACTTCATTTGAATGATTATATAATTGTTTTAGATTTAACCGTCCTTGAGTGATTAATTTTTTACACATTAATAATAACAACAACAACAACAATAATAATAATAATAATAATAATAATAATAATAATAATAATAATTATAATAATGATGATGATAATAATAATAATAATAATGATAAATAAATAAATGTATAACAAAAATAATAATAACAATAATATTAATATAAAAATAATAATATGAAATTTTCACACACATGCAAAAATAAGGTTATAAAAGTTATATATCAAATTATCAATGATATTAGTTTTTGTCAATCATTTATAACGCCCATATTGGTAAGATATTTACTTTCCATTAAAAGTCGTTTATATAAGAATGATTATGTACATATAACTGTAAGTAAAGAATGCCATGAATTTAACTCGTGAACCCCGAATCAATTTAAGAAATCCTGCAATGGTCATATTTTCGCAAAATTGTTGTTGATTTTAAAGGATCAAAAAGCCCCCCCCCCCAAAAAAAAGAAGAAATTTTAACATATATCGAGTGAAGCACTTAAAATGGGAAATTCTGCAGAAAAACTTTTAAGAGATATTCAACGTATTCGGAATGAAATTTAAAATCAATTGGCGGTGTAATTCATAACCCGAACTAAAACGTTGTAACGTTTTTTATTTTTGGTTCATTTTGCACAATGCAAACGAGTCTTATTGACATACGTATGTGGGGGGAATGATCTGAAAAATCTGCGCACAAGTTATTGGTTCACACCTTCATCAAATGGTATACAAGTCCCGAAAAACAGAAAAAGAAATATTCCAGTTTCGTCACGTCAAATATCCTCATTTGAGTCCCTTTACAGTAAATGCTGAAAAAAAAACAACAAAAAAAAACAACAACAACATATATTAGAATAACAGGTTTTAGATAGTTAATTAATATTAGCCCTGTAAAGTTTAACTGTCTTTTTACGCTACATTTAAACGAAAATTAAATTAATCATTTGCAAAGGTGACCGTTTTAGCTATCTTTCGTTCTTTTACAATCATGAAATGTCACACGAAGACACAAAGATGTACCTAAGGTCTGCAAAAAATTGCAAATTTGACAAAAAGCCTAATCAGTAACATGTCGATAATATGAATATAAAGCGGTGTCGCCATGCAAAATATTATTTAATTAATGACGTTATGGTGTGCGAAGAAATCTCATCTGCCTTGATAAATCTATAGATAAAACAAAATGTCATGTTCTATCAGTGATATGAATGGAACATTTTGCTTGCTTTTGTTTCTTGCGGCTCATTAGGGCTTAATTAGGTTCGTTTATAATGCCAAGTCACCGAATAGGCGTTGATCAGGATAAAAACTGATTTACCGCGTTTCATGTTTGGGTGGTCTTGACTGAAGCTTTTGTTTTGGTTTTGAAAGATTAAATCTTAACTTTGTTGTGCTCTATTTACCCATAAAACCTTTTCAAACTACACGTCTTATATGTTACAAAAATTGTAATAGTTTATAAAATTTCAGCTTTAAAAAACAACAACATATTTCACACATT